CCACACAATCAAAAGCCATTGCATAGTCAATAAAGCACGGGTAAACATCTTTCTGATATTCTCTGCTTTCAGCCAAGATCCATCGGACATGAGTAATGATATCCCTCATTCCACGGCCTCTTCTGAATCCGGCTTGGACCTCTGGAAGTTCTCTGTCAATGTATGATTGTAGCCATTTCTGTATTACCTTTAGCAAAACTTTACTTGCATGGGATATCAAAGAGATTGTCCAGTGATTTCCACATTCCATTGGGTCACCTCTCTTTGGAATGGGCACAAATATGGATCTCTTCCATTCAGTTGGCCAGATAGTTGTCTTCCAAATTTCTTGGCAGAGATGAGTGAGTGCCTCCTGTGCTGCCTCACTTTCTTGAAAGATTTCAATTTTTATTCCATCAACTCCTGGTGCCTTTGTCTTTGCCAATTCCTTCAATGCACCTTGGACTTCCTCCTTCAGTATCATTGGCTCTTGATCATATGCTATCTCGTGTAAAGGTTGAACATTACCCATTTCCTTTTGGTGTAGTGACTGTGTATTCCTTCCATCTTCTCTTGATGCTTTCTGCATCATTCAGTAATTTACCCAGTGAATCTTTCAAGAACGAAAGTCGAGGCTTGAATTTTTCTTCAGTTCTCCCAGCTTGAGAAATGCTGAGCATGTTCTTCCTTTTTGGTTTTCTGATTCCAGATCTTTGCACATTTTGTAATATGTGGCTTTATCTTCTCGAGCTGATCTTTGAAATTTTCTGTTCAGCTCTTGGACCTCCTCATTTCTTCCATTTGTTTTAGCATCTCTACACTGGAGAGCAAGTTTCAGTGTCTCTTCTGACATCCATTTTGACCTTTTCCTTCTTCCTTGTGTTCTCAATGACTTTTTGCTTTCTTCATGTATGATGTTCTTGATGTCATCCCACAACTCTTCTGGTCTTCTGTCTTTAGTGTTTAATGTATCAAATCTGTTCTATAAATGATCTTTACATTCAGGCGGGATATATTCAAGGTCATATTTTGGCTCTTGTGGACTTGTTTTCATTTTCTTCAGCCTCAGTTTGAATTTGCATATGAGTAATTGATGGTCTGTTCTACAGTCTGCCTCTGGCCTTATTTTCACTGATGATATGGAGCTTTTCCATCATCTCTTTCCACAGATGTAGTCAATTTGATTTCTATGTATTCCATCTGGTGAGGCCCATGTGTATAGTCGTCTCTTATGCTGTCTAAAGAAGGTATTTGAAATGAACAAATTATTGGTTTTGCAGAATTCTATCATGCATTCTCCAGCATCAGTTCTATCACCAAGGCCATATTTTCCAACCACTGATTCTTCCTCTTTGCTCCCAACCTTTGCATTCCAATCACCAGTAATGATCAATACATCTTGAATGCATGTTTGATCAATTTCAGATTGAAAAAGTTAGTAGAATTCTTCTATTTCATCCTCATTCATTGGCTTTAGTGATTGGTGCATAAATTTGAATAATAGTGGTATTAATTTGGCTTCCCTGTAAGCGCATGGATATTATTCTATTTCAGACAGCGTTGTGCCTCATGACTGATCTGGATATGTTCTTTTTGACAATGAATGCAACACCATTCTTCTTCAATTCGTCATTCCTGGCATAGTAAACCATGTGGTTATCAGATTCAAAATGGCCAATACCAGTCCATTTCAGCTCACTAATGCCTAAGATATTGACGTTTGTGTGTTCCATTTTATTTTTGACAACTTATAATTTACCTAGATTCATACTTCATACATAAATTCCATGTTCCAATTTTCATTGGAAATGTTCAGCTGTTTCTCTTTATTTTGAGTTGTGCCCCATCAGCAAATGAAGGTCCCATGGGCTTTTCTCCCACAGGTTTTATTCCATTTACGTCATCACAGTCAACTCTACTTTGAGGAGGCAGCTCTTCCCCAGTTATATTTTGAGTGCCTTCCAGCCTGAGAAGCTCATTTTCCGACACTATATCTGACGGTGATTCTCTGCTATTCATAAGGTTTTCAGTGACTAAATATTTGGAAGTAGTTCGTTACTCTTCCTTCCTAGTCTTTGTCTGGAAGCTCATCTGAAACCTGTCTACCATGGGTGACCCTGCTGTTATTTAAAATACCGGTGGCATAGGTTTCAAAATCACAGCAGCTCACAAGCCACCACAGTACAACAAATTGACAGATGAGTGGTGGCCGTTTGGTTTTAAGTGGAAACTGTCACTTTATAATTCAAGGAGATCTGTGTGCAGGCATAGTAGAACCCTCCAAGGGTGGGAGTGGAGTGTCGATTCACTTAGGCATCCCCTTCAGGCACCAGAATGGAGGTGTGCAGATAGCGATAGACCTATGAAGAGATATCCCCCAAATAAAGAATGTCCACACCTGTATTTCCGCGAGTCTGTCAGGCATTCGTGGCTGTTTTGATTCTTCCCTTGCTAGATAGCATGACCTAGATAGCATGGCGTATTCAATAACCATTCAGAAATTACCTACCTGTGTTGAGGTGTGGCAGAATGCAGCTCTCAAGGAGGTTTAAGGGGCAAGTTCTCAAGGAACATAAGTTCCTGAGATACTGGTGCCACAGGAAGACCTTGTGATGCTGAAGGAGAGTGCAGCAAGGGGAAGATGTGGTTCCCACAGGATGCCATGAAGTGTCATGCAAGACACATGCGCAGTTTGAATGGACTCTTGAGGGACTTGTCGATGTTCCAGGTGAAAACGTGAAGAAAGGAGCTGAAGTGAGAATGCCCAGCATGTATTGGAGGTGGGGCACTAAGGGACAGGCCAGGAGAAGTGGGTGAACTCAGAGTGTGGTGGAGAGCTTTGAATTCCATAGAGAATCTGGCTTTTATTTGGTAGGACTTAGCTTTGTTTTTCCAGGAGCCCTGGTAGCACTGTAGGGTGAGCTGTGGCCTGTTAACCATAAGGTTGGCAGTTCAAACTCATCAGCCGCTCTAGGGAGAACAATGAGGCTTTCTGCTCCTGGGAAGATTTGTTGTTGTTAAGTGCCACTGAGTTGGTTTGACTCATAGTGGCCTTGTATAGGGTTTCTGAGGAGCAGCTGGTGGGTTTGAACCACCGACCATGTGGTCACAGTGCCACACCAGGACTCCCCATAAAGATTTACAGTCTCAGAAACTCTGTTAACAGGGTTGCCATGAATTGGGACTGACTCCATGATGGCAGTGGGCTTGTTTTTGGTTTTTAATGTTTGTTTGTTTGTTTCCTGTTGTTCTTTTTTTAAAGTAATTACTTAACTGGGATTGGGAAGATTTAAGGGCCATCATGAGAGTAGCTTCTCCTTTTCCTATATCAGAATTCATTCCACGATGTGGGAGGAGGCTAACATTTGAGTGCTTCCGCCCTCAGTGGCAGAGAGCAACCTCCATATATTATCAGTTAATCTTTAATAACAACAGCTAACCTCTGTTTCCCCGCCCCACAGTTGGATAGTAGTATTTTCATTTTACAGATGAGGAAACCAAACGTTAAGTGACTGACCACGAAGACTGATTTCTTCTCCATTAAGTTGCTCTCTTGTGTAGGAAGGACTTTACTTAGCTCCCTCTGACAGAGCCCATCCTCTCTTTTTCTTTTCCTTCCAACAGACATTTGGAAGGTCCCATACCTTAAAACCTGTTAGGAATACATTGACAGCTGTGCTGCATGGCCTCAAGGCAGGGTAGGGCCAGGCCACCTCCAGAGGACTTTCATCCTTGAGTAGCTCCTTGTCCATCTTTCCCTCACTGCCTGAGAAGCCATACTGTCATAGAATTTGAAACTGGAAGGAGACTTGTTGTTGTTGTTGTTGTTATGTGCTGTGGAGTCGGTTCCGACCCATAGTGACCCTGTACAGGGTTTCCGAGGCTATAAGTCTTTACGGGATCAGAAAGCCTCATCTTTCTCCTGCGGAACAGCTGGTAGTTTCGAACTGCTGACCTTGAGATTCACAGCCAGATTCGTAACCGCTACGCTTCGTAACCGCTACGCTACCAGAGCTCCTTGGAAGGAGCCTTAGGCATACCCATAATTCATTTGTTATTGTTGGTTTCTATAGAGTTAATTCTAACTCAGAAATCCGGAATGAAACTGTCCCGTGGGTTTTCTTGGCTGTGACCTTTCAAAACCAGATCACCAGGACTTTCTTGTGAAGAGCTAGGGGGTGGATTTGAATGGCCAACCTTTTAATTAGCAGCTAAGTACTTAGCCATAGTGCCACTGGGGCTAACCCCTCATTTTTCAGGTGGAAAACAGGCCCAGAGTGGGTCAGCCCCTCGCTCACCTCCACACACAGCACAGGCTGTGGCAGGGCATGGTCCATTCTGTCTTGTTGACCCACTCTCGGAGTTATCATCTCTCCAGATCTGCTGCTCCCACTTTTCCCTCTCACCACATCTGACATCTTTCTTCCCTGAGGTTCCCTCCATTGTCTCTCCCCCTCCACACACACAAAGCCATTTTTTGTTTTGTTTTTAACCGTCCTTGACTTATGAAGAAAAACCTGCTTTGCTCTTTGAAATTAAGTAGATCTCTAGATAAATACTTATTATCTAACCTTTCATTTGCATCATTTCTGTGTGGCACCTGGGAATAGGGGTTTGGATTCAGTTACTTGGTTCAGGAAGTGTATAACTTTCTGGCTGACTGTCAGGGCATAAAATCTGCATTGGGCCACCAAGAGAAAGTTCTCTTTAGGTCTGGCATTGTATCTACTGGGATCCCAGGACCAAAGGTGCCCCGCTGGAGCTGTGCTCATCTGTGTGTTGTGTAATCTCTGCTGATTCTGTGGTGTGGAAAAGAGCATTGTCAGGTGGCCCCAGAGACATCTTACCACCTGGAAGGGATATGTCCTTGGGCAAGCTAACATCACCTCTCTTGGGCCTCAGTTGTCCTGTTCTGTGAAATGGTAATAAGGCCTACTCCACTGGGTTGGCTCCTGTACTTGCATTGCTTTGTACCTGAGGACTGCAAGGTAAGGGGTTATTGTTGTTGTTGTCATTATTAGGGCAGCACGGACATTCTCAGGCTGACTCTTCAGAACCAACTGACAGGAGAGGAACTTGAACAAATAGCCCAGAAGGTATCGAGGTTTCTGTGGGGTGAGACTGCCTCCTCTAAGCTATTACCCTTCCTTGTTGCTGAACCCCTTACCTCAGTGCTTCCTGGAGGTGTCTTTGCTGCTGCGAGCTTGGGAGCATCACCTTTCAGACGTACCCAGCTGAACTCTGCATTGTGTGCTGTTTTGAGGTCCGGGGGATCCCACTAAAATGAAAACTAACCTGTCATTTCTACTAATTCTCCTTGTCTAGTGTTTTGCTGCTGTGTGTTTTCTGGTAGCAGTCATGAAATGAACTTACAGATGTCATACAAGACTAACCTGTTTAGGAGCAGGTCTTCTGCATTGGCTGAAGGGCAGGAATTCTGGGCTCACCATGTGTTTCTGAACCATTTCTATCTTTCTCTGGCAGGCGGGCAGGAAGACCTACGCCATGGTGTCCGGGTGGTCAACTGGTCAGTCTCTGGCCTCAGAACTGGTGGAGTCCAAAGATGGACACGAGGAAATCATTAAGGTAAGCTGAATTCTCCTCCATCTTTCCTCTCATCAGTAAGTAAGGGAGTGGCTGACATTGCCCAAGGGAACTTGTGATTGGACTTTGGGAAGAACCAGACCTGTGATGCTAGTTTCTGGCTATCTCTTGGAAAGATCTTAACACTGGAGACCAAAGTCTATCTGAAATAGCTTTGGGTACAGCCTGGCTGAGGCATGGGGAGAGATGGGACAAACTTTATAGGTCCTTGTTCACTACTCATGTTTAGCTGTTTGGAGGTTGTGGGGACAGGGGGAAGCATGCTTATGGACTTCATTTTTAAGTAGGAGAAAAATATGGAACAAAATTTCAAAATCATGAAAAACCAGGCTTACTGGTTGAATAGAGACCGAGGGAACCTCTGAGATTGCAGTCCTTAGTCACCTCTCAGGTCTGGACCTGAACTCATCCACGTGGCTCAATTTTCAGTCCAACAATAGACTGGTCTATGAGCGGAGTAATGACGCTAATGAGGTGAGCACACCTTAGAACAATCAACCATTTGAGATTGAAAGGGCAGCATATACCCAATGACGAAGTTCACAAGTGTTAGGAAAGAAGGAGGAGTGGGAACCTGAAACCCAGGGAGGAAGTGGGACACGTGATGTTACACTGAGGGGATGGCAGTCAATGAGATGAAGCAGAACGTGTATGAATTGTTGAATGGAAAGTTGATCTGCTCTGTAACTTTCACTCAATTCACAATAAAAAGTTTTTTTTTTTAATTAAACAATTTTTATTCTTTTTTTTATATAAAATACCAGCTTTGTTTCATATATTGTATAACTGACCCATTTACAGTGCCTGATCCAGTGTTTTTTAGTATATTTATAGACTTATGCAACAATTTGCCAAAAACCAAGCCCCTTGTGACAAGTTGATTCTAATTCATAGCAACCCTGCAAAACAGAGTAGAATGGCCCCATAGGGTTTCAAAGGCTGTAGTCTTTCTTTGCCCCACAGAGTGGCAGTCTGCTATATGAAGATTACAGCTGAGGGTTTAAACTACTGACCTTTTGGTTAACAGCTGAGAGCTTAAAATGGACTCTCTTGTTCAATCACCACTACTATCTAATTCTGGAATCCTTTCATCACCCCCAAAATAAATCCTGTACCTATTCACAGTCACTCCCACTCCCCTTTCTCCCCAGCTTTGGAAAATCACTAATTTACTCTCTCTATGAATTTTCTTACTACATTTGTAACTCTGACCAAACGACTCTGCCTGCTGTGTCTGGGTAAGAGAGGGTGGGAGAAGATACTGGTAGGATGGCATGATTCAGCTGCGCATGTTGACAGAGTTCATTGTAATGGTAAAACATTTGAAACTCTAGCATGGGTATAAAATGAGCCATCTCAGAAGCAGGAAGTGGGGTGGTCTCATCATCAAAGAAGAGCCAGGAGTGGAGCATGTCCTTTGGGCCCTGAGATCCCTGCACATTGAACCTCCTCGATTCAGGGACAGAAAGCTGTGATGCTGGAGGAGTAGCAGAGTTGCAGCAGCAACAGAACCAAGAGCCAGAGCATGAGACTGAGAGGTGGACTTCCCAGCCCATGAAACAAGTAAAGCTGAGTGACTTTGGGAAGGGGCTTGCTTACAAAGCTAGGTTTGGTGATCCGTGGAACTAGAGCCAAGTGCCTTCAGCTGAGGCTTATGGTAGAGTGGTGTGTACTGTGTGCATTTATCAGTGGCCCCAAAAGAGCTCTGTAACATTGCCTGGAGAGAGACAGTCCTGCCTGACTAAAAGAACTCTGCCCTGAGCATCTCTGCCCCTGAAATATAACCTTTAAGTTCCCTAATAAATCCCGTAACTGTGAATATGGTGCTTGAGTTCTCTGTGGCCAGTGCAATGAATTATTGAGTCCAGCTAAGTAGAGTGCCATAAGGAGCTCTGGTAGTGTAGTGGTTACGAATCGGGCTGTGAACCTTAAGGTCAGCGGTTCAAAACTACCAGCCGCTCCGCGGGAGAAAGATGAGGCTTTCTACTCCCGTAAAGATTTACACCCTCGGAAACCCTGTACAGGGTCGCTATGGGTCGGAACCAACTCGACGGCACTTAACAACCACAAGTAGAGTGCCATAGGACGAGGGGTGTTTGGTGGCACTTTTTTGGATAGTGCATATAAATGGAATCATACAATATGTGGTCTTTTGGTTTTGGCTTCCTTCAAAGACTGCATAGTATTGTGCTACTACTGTGTGCAGTCAAATCAGCTCAGACTCATAGTGACCCTGTAAGGATTGCCAAGGCCGTAAATCTTTATGGGAGCAGAAAGTCTAATCTTGCTCTTATGGAGCAGCTGGGAGATTCAAGCTACTAACCTTGTGATTAGAAGCCCAACGCCTAACCCACTGCACAACCAGAGCTGCTTGCATAGTGTTGTTGCTGTTAAGTACCGTGGAGTCAGTTCTGACTCATAGTGACCCTGCACAGAGTTTCCGAGGCTGCAAATCTTTACAGGAGCAAAAAGCCTCATCCTTCTCCCGCAGAACAGCTGGCAGTTTCAAACTGCTGACCTTGAGGTTAGCAGTCCGATTCGTAACCACTACGCTACCAGAGCTCCTTAGATATATATAAAAAAGAAACCCACCCTTATCTGCATTGTTGTTAAGCTGATTCCAACTCATAGCGACCCTATAAAACAGAGTAGAACTACCCCATAGGGTTTCCAGGGCTGTAAATCTTTATGGACGCAGACTGCCACATCTTTCTCCTGCTGAGCAGCTGGTGGGTTTGAATGGTCGATTCTTTGGTTAGCCAAATGCTTAATCATTGTACCACATGGCTCCTCCATTTGTGTTGTTTTTCAGCACCCTCAAGTCGATTCTGGCTCATAGCAACACTGTATAGTGTTTCTGAAGAGCAGCTGGTGGGATTGAACTGCCAACTTTGTGGTTACAGTACAGTGCTTATCCTACAACACCACATCAGGACCCCCTATTCATTGTATAGACATACAATGTTATATTTAACAACAACAATCCCTATTGTTGGACATTTAATTTGTTTCCAGGCTTTTTTTGGTGACTATCAGAAATATTTTGCTGAATATATGCTTAATACATTGTGTGGGTCTGTGTTTTATGATATAGAAATATTTTCAGTTGTAAAAGAGGTAAGCATGGTGTGCAATGCAAAATGCAAAAAGCCCTTTATACAATTTCTTCCACAGAAGGAACCAGAGTAGCTAGTTTTGAGTGCAGTCTTCCATTCCTCTTTCTGAGTGTGGTTGAGTGTTTCCGCTACTGTAAAGTCATTTAACTCAATTTATTTCATTAGGATACATTTCCAGAAGTACATTTCTAGGTCAAAGAGTAAATATATTTTTAAGTCTTCTGATCGGAATTACCAAATTGCCAGCCAGAAAGGTGGTGTCGTAGAATGACTTGTGTTCCCCCCAAATTTGTGTCAACTGGGTTGGGTCATGAATCCCAGTGGTTTCTCAGTTAAATAATGATGTCGTGTGGCAATTATGTAATGAGTCCCCATGATATGATCTGGTGTAAGAAACCAGTAAAAGGATTAAGGGTGGTCTGCAATACCCTTAATCCCATCACAACCCTGCTATGCAAGGGAGTTTCGCAGGGGTGTGGCCTACAACATCGTTTATCTTACAAGAGATAAAAGGAGAGAAAAGTGGGCAGAGAAGGGGACCTCCTACCAATAAGAAAGAAGAGCCAGGAGTGGGGTGTGTCCTGCACTGGGAAGCTCCTAGGTCCAGGGAAAGACTGATGCCAAGACTCATGGAGACCTCCAAGGAATGCTGGGCGTACAGATGCTAGGAGGACCTCTCTCCAGCACGGGTGCTCTGAATTTGTACGTCTAGCTTCCTAAACTGTGAGAGAGAAATTTCTGTTTGTTAAAGCCACCCACTTGTGGGATTTCTGTTACAACAGAGCTTGAGAACTAAGACAGGTGGTAACAATTTGCCCTCCCACCAGCAGTGTATAAGGCTGCCTGTTTGTGTGGAATTAATTTAACTTGACGTTTCATAACTAAATAGTGTTACCCTCCCTATTTCAGGTGTACTTGAAGGGGAAGTCTGGAGACAAGATGATCCATGAGAAGAATATTAAGCAGCTGAAGAGTGAGGTCCAGTACATCCAGGAGGTGGGCACCACTCCCTCCTCTCTGTGGGAGTGCCAACGCCATTTCTCTGGACACACATTTTTCCTTGACTCTCTTTTGTGGGTGCCAGTTTTTCCCTTCTGTTCCCTTTGTAGCTCCAACGTGCCGCCATAGTCTCCCATGTGTCAAATATCGTTGCTGACTCATTGGCTCTAGTCTATTAACCAACAAATATTTATTAAATATCATGACCTAGCGTTGTCTTCAGAGGGTTGTGGTGATTCTGTGGTCCAATTCTCTCCCCTTCCATACTGAGACCTGGGTTTCATTCCCAGTCATTGCGCCTAAAGTGCAGCCAGCACTTGCCTGTTAGTGGAGGCTTACATGTTGCTGTGATGTTGAGCAGGTTTCAGTGGTGTTTCCAGAATAAGTTTCGGAAGAAAGGCCTCACACTCTACTTCCAGAAATCAGCCAGGGAAACCCTGTGGGTCACAAAGGTCCAATCTCATTGAGCCTGGGAGGCCGACTGAACAGCCGCTAGCAGCATGAATTGCATTATCCTCCGTCATCCTATCTAAAATTTCCTGCCCCCCGTTTCCAGTATTTTCTAACCCTCTACCTGGTTTGTGTTACTCTTTGATACTTGTTTCTCCAACATGTTAGTTTGTGGGTTTCTTTGTTTGTGAAGGAGGAACTGGGCTATATCCCCATTTGACCAGGGTCCTTCCTTCCCCCAGGAAGTGCCTAGAACAGTACCTAACTCAGATTGATGCAGGTTAGGGATGGAGAGTGAAGGTGGGTGAGTTGGCATGCTCTCTCGGTACCCCAAAGGTAAAGTTGCTTGCCCTCCCTTCCCAGGCCAGGAACTGCCTGCAGAAGCTTCGAGAAGATATAAGTAGCAAACTTGACAGAGATCCAGGAGATTCTTTCCATCAACAGGAGTTACAGGTAACAGGAACTACTCCATGGTGGTACCCCACTAAGGAGGTGGGGTTCTACCAGGCAAGACCATTTACCAATCACCCAGTGTCAGGAAGAAGGAAGACACAGGAGATGCTGACTTCTCTGAGTTCTCACAATCTATGTAGGGCTCTCCAACAGATGGGCAGTTACTTTTCCACATCTCAGCCTTTATATAAGTGCAGATATGCCTAAAATGCTGTATACAAAAATTGAATGTACATTCTCAAAGTGAGCACTGAGTGGCTAC